GTGGCTGCTCGAATCAGAAGAAATCGCATTTGAAAACAACAAATCATGTCTCGAGAAATGGGAATCTCTGTCAGAGCAATGTCTCGCATAATAAAAAGTGACCTTAGGATGGGTGCATTTCGAAGAATGGCAGGACAAAGGTTAACCACTTCCTTTTTTTTTTTAAATTTCTTTATTGAGTATTATAACAATCTGTCTGTTGGACATTGGTTATAGTGAGGTATAATGACATTCACACCATATGTACAAAAAAAATAAAATAAATAGAACAAAATAATAATCAAAAGTATATACAATAGACAATAAAATAAAATAACCTAAAAAATAAGAAAATTAAAACTAAGAAAAAAAACAGCACATGCATACCTATATACAATCAGGCGAGAGAACTCCAGGAGAACTTTCCCAACCGCGTCACTGAAGCCAGCGGAGATTGGTCGAGAGCACTTTAGCCACATACACTCATGTCTTGAGTGAAGAATCTGGCCATTGCCAGAACTCCAATTTATACAATCTACAAAAGGTCGCGAGGCCACTGCCGTTTCAACCTTCTTGGAGGATTATAGGGATGGGAGATGCTTGATAGGGATTGTACAAGAGGATTTGGGTGGTAAGTAAGGTTCTGGTGAAATTTGGAGAATTTTCCTGGGATAAGGTCTACGACAAATGGGATGTTAAGGTCATGATGTAGGGTTTTGTTGGATACATAGAAAGTAGCATCGACTATTGTTCGAAGGACTTTAGACTGGAAGGATTGGATGCGCTTGATGTTAGAAAATTTTGCTGATCCCCACAGTTCTAGTCCGTAAGTCCAAATAGGTTTCAGTATTGTCTTGTAGATCAGTAGCCTGTTTTCAATGGAAAGTTTAGATTTTCTGCTTAGTAGTCGGTATAGTTGGGCGTATCGTCGGTTGAGTTCTTGTCTTTTGAGTCTAGTATGCGGGTTCCAAGTTAGTCTTCGGTCTAAATGAAAGCCAAGATACCGGACTGTGTCTGAATAAGGAAGCTGGATGAAATTAAAGAGTACTGGTGGACAGGAATTGCGTCGGAGTGTAAAGGTAATATGTTGGCATTTAGATTCATTAACTTTAATGCGCCAGTTATTACACCAGTGCTCAATCAAGGTGAGGTGACTTTGGAGATTTAAGGATGCTATTTCGGGATCAGAGTTGGATGATAAGATTGCGGTGTCGTCAGCGAATGTTGCAAGAAAAGTATCGGGATGAACAGGGATGTCAGCAGTAAAGAGGATGTAAAGCACGGGACCCAAGACGCTGCCTTGGGTAACACCGGCTTTAACGGAGTAGATATTGGAAAATTCTGTTCCACAGCGAACTCGAAAGGAGCGGTCAGAGAGGTAGGATCGGAAGACTAGGTACAAGGACTGAGGTAAATGGATTTTAAGCTTGGAGAGCAGTCCGGAGTGCCATACCCGGTCAAATGCCTGTGCAATGTCCAGAAAGGCACCCGAACAGTATTCCTTGTTTTCTAGGGCTGAGGAAATATGATCAACAATTTGGAGACCTTGTTGAACAGTAGAATGTTGAGAGCGAAAACCAAACTGATGGGAAGGGATATTTTGGGATTCTATAATGGGTAGGATTCGTTTCAAAAGGATCTTTTCAAAATTTTTTGAAAGGATTGGGAGTAGGCTGATTGGTCTATAGGATGTTGAGCTATTGAGAGGTTTGCCTGGTTTTGGGAAAAGGATAATAGTGGAGTGTTTCCATAACAGAGGAAAGTGGGTGGTGCGTAGGATACAATTGTAGATATATGTAAGGAATATGACTGCTGGATGGAAGTTGTCGAAGGATTTGAGGTGTAAGAAGGTCATGTCCAGGAGCTTTACGGGGGATTAGTTTTTTTAATTGAAATTTTACTTCGGAAGGATGAATAGCTTTTGGGGGCAAGGAAAGTGGGATTGGTGATGTTTCACTTGAACCCGTTCCCAAACCTTCTCCACCGTCATTCATTAGGGGCCCAGTAAACTGGGACCTTTTCCGCCAAATAATCTCCGATAATATTGATCTCAACATATCCCTCAAAACTCCCGATGACCTTGATAGTGCCGTAAATTCCTTTACTACCACAATTCAACAAGCCGCCTGGACTGCCTCCTTCCCAAAAGACTCCTCCAGAATTCCTATAAAGACCATTCTATCCCAACACCTCCTTAACCTAATCCGCACCAAACGCCGTGCCAGATTATTATGGCAACGTACCCGACATCCTACCGACCGCTGCTCCTATAATTACTACTGCGAACAATTAAAACTGGAATTAGCCACCTTCAGATCACAATCCTTCAACTCCCACCTATCCTCCCTCTCTTCTCGCGACAACCACTTCCCTAAAAAAAAATTAGAGTGGATTGATGCAAAGTGCTCCTTGGACAATAAACCAAACTTTTTCATCGAAAGATTTTGTTTAGTAGGCGATAAGAAAATTTTGACAATTGAAGAAAAATTTATCGTGTGTACTCACACTGCTCTAAGGAAGCCCAAGAAGTCATTCTAAGAGTGGAAAGAGGTCATCGCCCTTCCTCAGTGATGGTTTGTTGCGGAGTTCGCTTTGATGGCACCACAAAGCTCCAATTTTGTGAAACAGGAGTTAAAACAGCCGCTAAAGACTATCAGGTCGATATTTTGGAACCTGTTGTCAAGGCTCTAAATGATATTCTGTTTGTTGGAAACCATTGGGTTTCCTAGCAGGATTCCGCTCCAGCTCACAAGGCCTGGTCAACTCAGCAGTTTATTGTATACAAAAGAACATTCCGAGTTCACCGCTGCCTCGGATTGGTCCTCAGGAAGCCCTGATCTCAACCCACTAAATTATCGGCTTTGGTCCGAACTGGAGAGGATAGCATGCCACAGAGTACACCCTAATTGGAAAGACTTAAACCATCTCTGGTCTGAGCAGTTGAGTGCTTTCCTCAATAAGTGTTGTGTGCTGCTATTGATGACTGGCCACGAAGATTAAATGCCTGTGTCAAGGGAAAAAGGGACATTTTGAGTAATTTTTTGTTTATTTTATTCTCTATTGATACAATTTTATTTTCTAATAAAGTTTTTGAAAAAAATAATTTTTCTGTTGAAATTTGTATATATTTCCTTGTAACAATATTTATGACAGGACTAGGTATTTAATATAATAACTAGCCCGTCCTCGTCCTTTATAGAGAGCGTCGGGTGTTCGGAATACCATACTACAATAAGATTATTTAAAATTTGTGGGATTATGAAAATTGCCCACTTAGAGAATGTTCAATGTACATTATAGTCACCGCCCCCTCAATAATTGTGACAAAATATAAATAGTTGAAACTTTGATACTTTATGGTTTTAGGTTCAGAAAGATCCACCAACAGAAAGAGGTTTTGACATACATCAGTTGACATACAGTTCGTGCCTACATATAGTTCGTGCCTTTTGGAAATAATATTTCTCTTTATATAAAACATCGTCGGTTTATTGCTAGAAGTCACTAAGTAATAGAACTAAACCTTTATTTTAAGATATATGACAAACTAAATAACAATTGTCATATACCTTATGTAATTAAATATCTTCCTTAGGATTTATGAATAAACTTCTACTTTTTTTATGAATTTTGACCTTAATAATAGATGAAAAAACAAAAAAAAATATTTTCTTATATATCAAAAATAGTTTCATTAAGTGCTCATTATTCTGAATTCACAGAGAGAAAATTGACGTTAGTAGTGATTTAATTATATGAATTGTTACTTAACGATTTTTGTCTATGTAATATATATTATTTCTCAAAGATATTTTAGTGTCTCTAAATTTTTACCAAATCCAATGACTGAGACATTATTTTGAAAAACATCTTCTTCTGCAGGTGCAAAACATGAGCATATCTCCCAAAAAAATTAGGTAAAAGTTATGAAGAAAAGAAAACATTATTTGCGCTCTACTCAAAAGGTATACAAGTTATATTGTGTTATGCTCATGATAATTAGAAATATTTTAATAATATTGGTAATTTATTCGACTATGGCGAAGCCACGCAAAGGATTATGTGTCTGGGTTGTCCGAAAAAAGGCATGTGAGGATTTTTTGGACGAACGGCTGGACCGATTAAAACTAGATGAGCTCAAAGAAACAAGAGTGAAAGGCTAGACCGATTTTTAAGTTTGATAGCTTAAAATACTCACTGAGTTTCCAGAGGGTATTTTTAAAACAATTTGAGCTCAACACACAAAAACATTACTGTATACAATTCGGTTTCATCAATCCGCTAAAAGGTACGTAATGATCTTTTGAGCGAACGTCTGGAACGATTTTTAAAATTTATGACTCAAATTATTTATTCACACGTTTTGTATATTATTTTGGATGCAAATCAATCAAGTAAACGCAATGCAATATGAGAGGGAGCATAATTCATTGGATTTGCTTATTTCTATATTATATCTGTGGCACACGTGAATAGTGTGTCGAGTGCAATTTTGTGGATTTTTATGGGTATCACCTGAAAGCCAATTCTCTCTCTTTATTTCTGCCTAATGGGCTAAGTTATGCGGCTATTACAGAAATGAACATTCCTTTGTGAATCATGGGTTGAAACTTCAATATCGAATTTACCTTTGTGATTTAACTTTCAATTGCATTTTCCCTAAAATATATTTGCTCTTAACACATTATGAACAGGTGCTACATCTGTAGCACCTGTTCTATCCACCTAATATCTATTAGAAAGAACTTTTCACTAACCAATACAGTATGAAAACTATTCGCACGGGCCAACTAGTGTTTTATATTGTTATCGATTTAGAACATATTTTACTTATAAGTCAGGAAATAGGTCTAATAATTAGTTTGTATGTTGATTTGTTGTTATTGATCGATATCAGCTACGCTAGACTACCGCCATTGAATGCATTGTTCTACCCAAATGCTTAGTAGAGCTAATAGTTTATTATAATACAAAAATATGTTTCAAAAGTTTATCATCCCTGAACTAAGCTATATCCTCACCTGGGGAAGGGCCCGAAAATGTCTTCTTCGACAACCATGTTTGTGGATAACTAAGGCTGTTGATGGGTTGCTATGACTCCGACGAACTAGGAAATAGCCCTCGTTTCCTTGGATATACTTTCTTCGCTGCAAGGGCGACCACTCGATTCGGATACGAGCTAACAATCGATTTAGATTAACAGATTTAGACAGGTATCGAATTATGCTTGATTCTCAACATAATATTATTTACTCTAATCCAGCTGCTAAAAAACATTTTTATTATTAACCAATAATGGAATGTGTTTTTAATTTTTAGATGTGTATTCTAAATATTTAGGTTGATATTATAAAGGAATTGAAAAAAAAACATTGATGTAAAAAAATATATATCATGCAATATAAATGTACGCATTCATGCAATATGTGATTCTAATTTTAATTTTTTTTTAAATTTTATTCAATGTTTATGCAACTATATTAATGTAATTTTTTTTCTCAGATAATTAACGGTTAAAACCGTTGGAAGCAACGGTGTTTAAACTAAAATAAAATAAAATTAATAGTTTATATTTAATTATTCATTTAATTATTGCTTCGTAAACTTCTAAAATACGGCAGTAGGTCAATTGATTCATCCTCGAAAAATTCATCCTTTCGTTTTTAATCTTGTATCTTTTATATACGTCGCTTATTTCTTAACTTAACCCAAATCTTATTTATTTTTTAAATGAGGTAAGTATCGAATTTCCATGTAAATCCCACGGTGTAACATACATACACATATATATATATATATATATATATATATATATATATATATATATATATTATATATATTGAATATATAATATATATATTATATATTATATATATATTATATATTATATATATATATATATATATATATATATATATATATATATATATATATATATATATAATTAACGGTTTTAACCGTTAATTATCTGAGAAAAAAAAGAATTACATTAATATAGTTGCATAAACATTGAATAAAATTAAAAAAAAAAATTAAAATTAGAATCACATATTGCATGAATGAGTGCATTTATATTGCAAGACATATTTTTTTACATCAATAATTTTTTCAATGTCTTAATAAAAAAAATTGTAATACCAACCTATTATATATATATATATATATATATATATATATATATATATATATATATATATATATATATTTAGAATATATATATATTAAACTGAAAATCTTATTTATTTTTTAAATGAGGTAAGTATCGAATTTCCATGTAAATCCCACGGTGTAACATACATACACATATATATATATATATATATATATATATATATTATATATATTGAATATATAATATATATATTATATATTATATATATATATATATATATATATATATATATATATATATATATATAATTAACGGTTTTAACCGTTAATTATCTGAGAAAAAAAAGAATTACATTAATATAGTTGCATAAACATTGAATAAAATTTAAAAAAAAAATTAAAATTAGAATCACATATTGCATGAATGAGTGCATTTATATTGCAAGACATATTTTTTTACATCAATAATTTTTTCAATATCTTAATAAAAAAAATTGTAATACCAACCTATATATATATATATATATCTTTAGAATATATATATATTAAACTGAAAAATGATTTAAACACATCAAATAAATATCAGTAAGTATAAATATTTTCATTTTTTGTGTTTTTTAAAAATGTAATTTATTAAAAGTTTTTTTTCCAGTTTTATTCGAATGAAAATCAAAAGAATTTTTATTTTATCGTGCCTTTATTGAAGTGCTGGCGTTCTTTCCAATGAGTCCAATTAGGAGCCGAGAAATAAAACATTATATAATTACAAACACAATTTATGTTATTTATTTTTGTTTTTGCTCTATCCGGATTTTTAGATAACTAAATATCAATCATTTTGTTTATTGTGCAAAATGAAAAAAAAACAACATAGCAACTATTGTATTAAATGAGTTGTAATGTATCATAAATTACAAAAACCCAAAGTTGCATTCAGTAAAGTACTCCAAGTAGATTTTTGTTATGAAAAAGCAAATTAGATTCCTTTTAGGGTCCTTTAAAACTATTAAATACGAATTGTTATATAAATAAAAAAATACAACCTTTGATACTTGATTTTCATGGATGAGTTTTTTCTGGGCCATCAACTAGCATTCATAACTCCTCAAGATTTTCTTCAAATTCAACTTTAATATAACCGTTGAAAAGCTGAATTATTGCTCAACCAACTGACACTAATATATGATACATTATAACTCATTTAATACATTAGTTAATATGTTTCTTCTTTTTGAATAAAACAACAAGATGACTGATATATAGTAACCTAAAAAGCAAAGGTAAAAATAAATAATTTTGAAATCATATGGAATGTATTGTCTATCTGCTCCTATGGTCCATTAGAAAGAACAACAGGACAAGTGTATAATATTTTTCGATGTAGTATCAGAAAAAAAATTAGTTGAAATCAGTGACCCACAGACTGTATCCTCTCGTTGTTAGTACAAAATAATTGATGGCACATCTGTTTGCTGTAAAAAAAGAGTTTAAGGAAACCATATGAAGTTAGATTATTATTTTTTTAAACAAAAGTTGATTACAGGACATGTAGGCTACTTTTCATTAAACCCTATATCATTGGTTTATTGCCAAAAGTCATTATGTGACGTTTCATTACCTTAAATCACTAAGAACTTTGATGTATTTTATATTTGTGAAATAAAAAAATTGTGACCTTGTTGTAACTGTGTTAGGCATATAAAATGTATGGGTTTGTGATATTTTTTTGTATTGTTACAAAGCTTTTTATCGATAATGTTCAGCTTCATTCAAAATGTACTTCCCGAGTTTTTTCAATTAACCTACGTTTTCTTCCACTGATTTTACAGTCTGCAATAAACACTTAAAGGTCATAGGAATTTAATAAACTGAATATGGTTATATTTTTTGTACTGATTGTTTCATAAAAAGTATAAAATCGAAACTAAACCACTCATATCGATAAGTTATGTCACTTGGTAAATCTGGAAAGGCCATGCAACATTGCTTCCTTAAACAAATATGGGACAAACGTTTTCCTCGAACGCTTTCTAAGTCTTTATCCTTGTTTTGAACACTTTCTACAAATCGCATGTTCTAAGTTAAACTGTTCTGTTTTACGTTTTGGAAGTTGGTAATTAACCGTTACAGTGAAATAACCAAATAGATATGTAGCAGCCATTAGATGTACAACTACGCCGATCATAATTACTGCCTAAATTGCTGAAATTTTCAAAATTGATGGTTTCAAGCAGGATATACTGCAAGTACGTTTAGAAAGTATTTAGTGTTGGGTGAAATGGTCGGTAGATCATGCGAATGTTGAAAGAATAAAATGTTAGTAAATTTTTGTACTGTTTGAAAAATGTTTTATTAATGAACTAATTTAAGTATTTTATCTTATTGATTTGTTACTTTATTAATTTACTCATTGAAATATGTTTATTTATTAATTTTTTTCTAATAATAAAACAGAACACGGCTTTATCGGAGATAGGAGAGAATATTTGTGCCGAGTATGCATTGTATTGTAACTAAGTTAGGAAGTGATTTAGTCTTCTTTATTTTTGTACATTGTTTTCCAACTTTTTTTCCCCCTTTTTTTTATGGTATTAAGCTTCTTCGTTAATTTTTCATCCATATACAGCTATAATTCCCAATGCAATTAATTGTGGCAGATTGTACTATTATATTCTAATAAAAGAATCTTTATCGATTGTGGAAAAAAACTTTCTCCTTCAGGTGCGAAAATTAATCATATTAACCAGAAAATGCAGAAAGAATGTTATGGAGGAAAGGAAAATTTATCTACGCATAACTCAAAAAGTAAACAATTCATGATTGATTATGTCCTGATAATTTGAAATATGTTTAGATTCCTAGAATAGAAAAAAAAAAAATGGAAATCATAGAGACTAGAAATCATATTATTGAAACTGTCACCCTAAAACATTAACAAGAAAAAGTATGAATTATTTCTTGTCACTAACACTAATGTTGAAAATTATGACATAGTATTTTCTTAGTATCTCCGCTAATATTGGTTATACATGATGGATTTTTAACTTATTTTCGGTTTATATTCTGAAGGAAAACTGTATAAGGCAGTTTAAGTTAATTTTTATTTAACTTGACATGGTTTGAATGATTTCAAAATTCTCTCCAAGTTTAAAATAAAAAAAATATTGAAAGCGGACCATTATTTGCAGAGATACATCATATTATAACTTGGTTTTATAATTTTGAATGCTGATAATTGTAATTGACTGAGAAGCAATCAATCTCCATATTATTTGATTTAAAAATATAAGTAGTTAAAATATTACACAACAGGAAATGTTTTTGATAATAAGTTAGTTATATTTGATGAAGTTACTTAATTATTAATCAAATTATTTAAGTTGAACTTTTATTTAACAACAAATACAATGCAGTTTTACAAACTGCAGACTAATCACGGGCGAACGAAGACATTTTTCAGCATTGTGAAAATTCAAAAGGATAGAAATTGCGATGTTTTTGAAGCGCCACATCATGCTGTTTAGATATTATTTATTTTATTTATATGATATTTACAACTGTATAAAAAAAATACGTCTGGTAAATTCGCACATGGATATAATGACATGAAGCACATGTTGAGAAACTACCCATTGGTAGCACTGTAATAATATGTCAATATTAGAAGATCACGTGGCCATCTTCTTTTCAGACGCCTCGGAGGGTTATCAGGAATTGAATAGGAAGCAAGTTTAGAAACAAGAGGGTTGGGATGGTTATGAAGTTTACTATGGAAGGACAGGTATCTGGATTGGGCCAATCTGATACATAAGGAACATTAAGGTCATTATGGATAATTTTATTTGTAAGAAAGTAAGGAGCATTGAGGATTTTACGAAGGATTTTGGATTGTAAGGATTGGATGCGAGAGGAATTTGAGGGTTTGGTGGAGCCCCATAGCTCAACTCCGTAAGTCCAAATAGGCCTTATTATAGTCATGTAAATGAGTATTTTATAATTAATCGGAAGGTTAGAGCGTTTGTCTAGTAAGTGTTGAAGTAGTTGGAAACGTCGAGCTGTTTCTTGTCATTTCAGTCTGGTGTGAGGATTCCAAGTTAGGCGTTTGTCCAGATGGAGTCCTAGGTAACGGATTTGTTCAACAGGAATAAGTGAGGTGTTGTTAAAGGATAC